CTGCACTAATGTCACACACTCAAGTACTCACAGACACACACACACACACACACACACACACACACACACACACACACACACACACACACACACACACACACACACACACACTCAAGAGCAAACGCACACATAGGCAAAAACACTGGGAGAAAAGGATTCAGGGAGTCTGCAGACGAGTTGTCCCCAGCTCAAGCAGTGCAGCAAGTGTAAACAAATATAAAAAGTTAAAACTGGTTTCTGTGCACTCAAAAAAATAAATAAATGTTTATATGTTGATATTTGGTATTGAGAATATTGTAAGGGGATATTTTTTTATATATATTGAATTTGATTTTAAAAACATATACATACATATAAAGATACTTCAAAAGGCTTAGAAATACAATACAGAAATTAATTAATTTAATTTACTTTTGATTGCAAAATAGTATATTATTATGAGAACATAAAATTTAGAAAAATTAAAAATATTAATATAATTTTTAAAGACCTAAAATCCCTTATAATGTGTTTTCAATTTTTACTCAAAGTCAAAGCAATTCCCTTGTGTTTTCTCTCAGTGCACGTGTGTATCTGTGTGCAAATGTAAAGCATAAGATAGACAATTACACTTTTGCCACTGCAAGAGGGAGATGGCGCGAGGCAGCCAGAAGGAGAGAGGGCATTTAGATAAACGCCAAAAGGTAAATGAACTTTATCAACCGAACAAGAAACGAGGTGCACACCTACACAGCCACCCACACATACGCACGCATGCAAACACATATGCACGACTGCAATGCTCATTGTGTGCGTTCGTGTCTGTGTGCCCTCCACTTCTGGTTATGAAATTGAATTGCTGCGCCTGCACATATATTTATTAAATTAAAGAAAGCCCACCTATTCGCACTATATTTGCAAAAATCATAAACAAAAATTTGACTGGCGTCGGAAACTCGTGGGCATTTAACTGGTTTGTTAAGCAAGATTAAATGATAAATAATAAAGCTAAAAACTAACATATAATGGAATTGTTATGTATCATAAATTGTGTTCTTTTCTTTTTTTTTAATAATTTTTGAAAGATAAATAACTTCTCCAATTTATGCATAAATATTTCATAATAACTATATAGCTATTAAACAAAGAATAAACACACATATGAGGTACATAAATATATTCAACAAATAATGTACTTTAAAAACTGTAAATATATTTTAGCTTGAGTAAGAACTTAGCTCAAAAAAAAAAAAAAAAAATACAATTAAGTTGAAAAATATTTACCAAGACTTGGCACAATTTAATGGACACTTTGAAATGAATGGCGTTTATTTGACATGGGCATTTAACCAAATTTAATTCCTGCCCAACTCGACCCAAATTGCAAAGCAAATTACATTTTATAATAGTATTTCGTTACCTACGATGACATTTACTATTTTTATCGTGAAAATACCTTTGCCACATTCAATTTAACATTTTCAGCAGCCAGCAAAAATGTCAACAGGAGTGAAAATCTAGAAAAATGCTGGGACAAAATGGTAGGAAAACATGGAGCGAGCATACAGAAGATAAACAATGTGAAATGTGGAAGGAGCTGAAACAGATTTTCCGACTGCAGTAATAAATGATAAACAAGTGCAAGCTGGCCAAATGGGCGTGGCAGTGGGATGGTGATGGGAGTTGGGGGTGGGAATTTTTCCATTTCCCAGTTGCTAGGCTGATATTGAAAACTGCTGCCTGCAAAGCTAAGCAAATGTTGCCCTACGTCATGTGTGTGTGTGTCTTTTCACACTCTTGCATTATTTATGCAGGCCACGCGTGTGTGTGTGTGTGTGTGTGTGTCAGAGAGAGCCACGTACGTGCTTCGAACTGCAACGACAGCTGCTTCTGTTCCAGGACACAGAGTACAGGAGCCAGCAGTAGTAGTTCCCAGTCACCAGTAGCCAGGATCCAGAATCCAGAATCCAGAATCCAGAATCCAGTATCCACTAGCCAGCCATTTAAACTCCAGCTCCTGGACCAAAAAGCTCCCTGTGTGCGCATATACATATATTTATTCCATGTACATATTGTAAGTGCCCATGCCTCGTGTCAAACTTCTAATTAACCTCGTAATTCATGCAGCCTGCAAGAGAGCAGGGTATAGAGGGTCGGAGTCCAGGGGTTCGAGGGTACAGGACACAGAGGGCGACTGCTGGCGTTTATTGTCCTGCGGATGGCGGAGCACTGGAGAAACGTGGCCGGGCAACTGACCCAGAAATTACCAGTCAACAGCATATAAATGGCAATATTTGATGGATTTAGCAGCATTATTTTGCCTGCCTAAAGAATGCCAAGAATATTGTTGGTTTTCAGTCAGTGATTGTATGTTTACTTCATTATAATAAATTACAAGGGTTTTTTGAATACAAAACATTGGCTTTTTAAGCCCAAAAGATCCCATTGCCCTTATGAATATAATTGAGAGATTTACATAAGAAACAATATTTGGTTTAAGGATTTTAGCTGCGTGAAGAGAAAAATTTTACTTATTGATTTTAAGACAATAGTTTTTCCTTTAATCTTTGCAACAAGAAAATAATCGGAATTGGAATAACTAACAATAAATAACGGTTACCGGTTGATTTTAAAGCAATATAGGTATATCTTTTGATACTTATACTTGCACAAATCACATTAATTAAGATGAATATTGAAGGATTAGCTTTGTTTTACAAAATGAATTATTCCGGATTTATTCATAATAAAGTAGTAATAAAGTAGGCGCAATATTGGTTTAAAAATAATAAAATTCCTAAGTTATTTTTGTTTGTATGCAATCCCCAAAAAGAAGGTAACACTTGCGTGCAATTTACCGCCTGTTTCTGTCAATACAAATTGAAATTACATTATTTTATTGGTTAGTTGGCCTGTTCAAATGAGAAACAACAAACCATGAAAACAAATAAACATAAATTGAATGCAATCGCATGATTAATTGTTAAGGGCCAGCAAGACAGCCAAACAAATTACAATTTGTACAACAATTATAGCCGGGTGTTGTGCCTGTTAAGTTGGTAAATATACAAATTAAGCAGATATAGTAATTAAAGCCAACCATTTGGAGTGTTGAACAATATTTCAAAGTTTTTCGACGGCAAACTTCTCCGACTGACTGTGCAATCAAATGTTCAATTGCCACTTATTTTGCGGCTGGCCATGGACAACATCAAACCACAGCACTTAATTCTGGAAGTCAAGTAGACCAGACAAAAAATGGGTGAAAAAACCCGACGGGGGAAAATGTAGAAAAATTGTACAGAAAACAAGCGAACAAAGGGAGACACAAAGTCGTTATTGTCTTAGTTTTATTAAAATGCGTTCCTCTTTTTATATTTTTTGTGTGGAAAAAAGCAACTTTTGCAGGCAAAAACTTGTCAAAGGCAACGGCCAAAAATGGAACTCTGGCAACAACCATTTCTGCCAATTTGGGTGCAATTTAAAGTGCCCGAAAGGGGGGGAAACCCACTGTTATATAGTACATACACAAAAAGTTGCCAACTATTTAACCGAGGCTGCGGGGCGAGGGGTCAAGGGGCACCAAAAACTTGGCAGACACGGACACAGATGAGCAGACCGCAATGGAACTGACCGCGGGGATTCACTGCTCAAAAAAAAAGATTTTATTGTACCAGAAAAAATTAATTTCACCTTTTTCATTTAACTTAAGGCGTAGTTCAAGTAGTCAATCCTGATAAATAAATATTTGGCTTAAATAAAATACATTTTTTAAATTAACGTAATGTTTATGTTGCTTTAAGCTAAACATAAAACGATAAAAATTTTCTTATAAATAAAAATACTTTCACCAAAAGAAAAATGGTAATTGCTATATTTTTATTATTTTTTAATTACACTTATTTTTAAAGTTTTTAAGTTCGAATGCAATATTTGCAATTACTTTATTAAAGTGTTTGGTATTTTATTAAATTGTTTTGTCAGTGTACCGATGCTTTGGCCATAAAGCGTTCAGCGTCCTTTGGAGGGAGTGGTGGGGGATGCGGTGGTTTTAGAGGGTTAACACTGCTGCATTAACGTTGACCGAAAAATCTCTGCTGCTGAAGTTGAGCTTACATTCTTTTTGCACCCGAAAAAAGGAGTTAAAAAATACATATTTCGCGGACAATGCAGCCAAAAAGCCCCCCTCGAGCCACACCCCTTAAGCTCCTGTTGTTGCAACAATAACGGTACATTACAAGTGGCAGGCGAAAGGATCGAGTTAGTTAGTTTGCTGCCTGCCTCCGCTACCGCCCACCCCCGCCCCCTTTTCCGTTTCCCTGGCCGCCTCTTTTTTCTGCGCTTCTGCCTCCCCGACTTCTGCGGTCTTGTTAGTCTGGGCTGGCAAGTTGGTTAAAAAGTTGTTGATGCAGTTACTCCTACCACTGACTACCACGCCCCCCGCCGCCGCCCCTTTTTGCGACGACATTTGTGCTAATGGCTGCCAACGACCTGGACACAAAACTCAAAAGGCCCTGCCTCTGGACAGCATCCCCAACCCCCCTCACCGCCCGACCCACCACATGGCAAACATGTTGCATACTTTGCGGCGTAAGCGAAAAATTCGAGCGAACAGCTTTTTGGCCAAGCAAACACACAGTGGGTTAAGTGGGCGAGTTTGCCACAACATTTGTGTTCAAGAATAATTAAATTAAGCTATCCGTCTGGGCGGAGGAAATTAAAAAATACTTGCAAATTATGTTACACTTTTAAATGTACGTATAGCAAGTCTCGGTTCAAAGGGCTGAATTACTGGCAGTTTCTAACTATTTTGTTCTGAGGCTCAAGTAATTGAATCAGTTATTTTCTGTATAAAATGACATCAATTTCAATAAACTAAGTTAATAAAAGTCAATTACGTTTTAAAAGGAGGAAAGGTTTATGACTACGACTTACTCATTTTGAATTCATTTATTTTAGGTTTATTTAGAAGTGATTCATAGGTTCTAAGAAGTAGGCAAATTAAGAAGTTTTCAAAAATATACTAACTGATTGACATTTATTTATTGCGATCAAAATTATGCAAAAGATTTAGAAAATACTAGCGAAGTAATGAAAATGTAATGTGCTCAGTTTGTTTTCAATTGGAAACTCTTCCTCGGATGTCTCATTGTGACTCCTCAGCTGCGATTAGTGGCTCGATATCAGGTAGAGATTCCTCAATTTCTTGGTGGCTTGGTTCTCCATTCATTTTATTTTCGCGAATAGTGAACTGCAGCTCAATGTCCTTTGTGTAATCTCTAGTGAGTTCCTTCATTTCGCAATGAGTGAAACGCATGAAGAGTGGGCTGTCGCAGAGGAGGTCGCACTGTTCGACTATCTCGGAGCTTGGACAGGTGTGAATTACCTGTTGACGTGGCACTCCGGAAAGATTTTCACCCGCTCTCACGGTCACCATCAACGGTGGCTGGGCCTGTGCACAGAATAGCCAAAGGATGTAGAGATGGGTGACCCGCGGAACGGCGGGCAACGAATCCCAGGAGGTTTTCCACAGCATTACCAGCACGGGCAGACGGCCCTCCCAGTCCATATAGATCCGGGGGAGATTTGCATTCATGGCCACTTGTTTGCCGCTCTCAAAGATCAATAGACCCACACAGTTGCTCTTGGTTAGCCTGGTTTCTTGCACCGACTTCGCCATGAGCTTCAGGCATTTTGCCTCCATGGTTTTCAGTTCCAGGACTATGATCTCCTGGTGATACATCAGGAAGTGACTTAAAAGATTACCAGGATTGACCACCACATCGCAGTTGCTCAGGGGACAGGCGAAGGCCAATTTCTGCAATCTCCAGTGATTCTCTTGCTCGAATGCCGTGTTTCTCTTTCGCTCATAGAGAGCTTCCGGTGAGAGACTGCCCTCCAGATCGGAAACGGAAATGCTTTCGGCCCCGCCACGCATGGGCACACTTCCGCCCGCCGGAAGTGACAGTTTACAGTCCATATACAGGCGACTTCTCGGATCGGGCAGGAAATGCAAGCGGGTAATGGAGATCTCGACCTCCTCGTCGGTGACATTGCCATCGTTGTCGCTCTCCGAATGACAGCGGTTCGCCATCATTGCACCGGATGTGGTGTCCAGGGAGTACTCCGATTGGGCATTGCGCAGCAAGTCCGATAGTGCGCCGATTCCTGTTCCGAAATCCTTATCCGACCCACCCGATGTCGATGGCTGCTCGTCCTCAACGCCGACGCTCTCCATTGGTATATTGCTTTCTAGCATGTATTTTCAAGACCGGGAATTTGTTCGGAATTTGTGTGTGTCGAAAATATTACGTTTCGAAATCGAATGATATTTTTGACATTTTAAAACAAGGTCTTAGGAATAGTTAACAAAGACTTTAAATTTCAAAACTACTTACTATTATTAAAAGCAACTTTTAATGTAATTATTTTTTCGTAATTAATAACCGCAAATTTGTGTGAACTTAAGGCAATAATTTGATAATGTTTTTAATATTTACTGCAGAAAGATATGAGGCATTAAAAAAAGTTGCATATTAGTTTAAGATGGGGCCTTACTGGGAATTCCAGAACTAAAACTGAGACAATACTATATATATACACCATCTAAACTCTAGGGAACATATTGTTGCATTTGTAATTTCCGGTTTCACACACACTCACACACACGCACACGGTTGCAACAGAAAAAGCGAAAGAAAAATGTGTCAACATACAAGACAAAGCAAAATACAAACAAAACTCAAGTTCCCTCTGTAAAACAACGAAATGCAACTAAAGTGTAGAAAGAGAGGGGTGGCGGCGACAAAGGGAGAGAGCAACAGTCGGACTAGGGCTCCCAACTCCCCCTGGCCACGCCCTCTTTTCCCTAACCGGCGTCCAGCAACTCTTTTGGTTTCAAACCGACAATGGAATGTGCCGCCGCAGAGGAAGTGCGGTCTATAGCGGTAAAATCGGTCGTAAATGAACAAATACCAAGCATACTTAGGCAATATTTAATACCTACAACATTTTTAAATTGATTTCTTCAAGGCTGTGACAAACGCTTAAAATTTATTTATTTTGCGTAATAAAATATTAATCAACGGGCAAGTATGCACGAAAATAAAAAAAAATAGTACAAAAAACCAAAAATCTTTTTGGTGTATCAAAAATCTTATTTATAAGCAATTGATATTGTTTTAGCTTTGCTCTTTTGATTAAAAAAAACCTTTTAATTTCTTTGTCTAATTATATTTGAAAATTATAATAAGCTCCAATAAAAAAGCACAAAGTAATATGAGGAATCCATTTTTTTCTATTTCGAGAACCTCTAAATTAAACTATATTTTTAGAAACTCCATTTACATTTGTGTCGTGCAACTTAGAAGCAAAATAAAGAAGCGAGTTAAGTCACGTGCATTTGTTGATGGTTTTATCCCTTTTATTTTGCTTTTACTTAATAGTTTGGAGTGGAAAATTCCAACTCCATCTTGGCCATATATCCCCTGGCTTTCCACCGTTCTGACACTTTGTCAGTTGCTTTTCCTTTTCGAGCTTTTGAACTGCAATTGTCAGTTAACTGTGCAGCCAACCGCAAATAGCAAAGAAGGCAAAGCCTTTCTATCGCTGCATTTGTTGGCATCTTTGAGACATATTTCCATTGCTTACCCCTTTGCTTAAATTGAGTTTTCACCATTTTACACCCAGCTGAGGGAAATTCAGACATCATCAGTGGCCAAACTCACCTATAACGAAAAGAGGTAACAAACAAATTAGTCAACGAGTCAGGAATATAAGTACAAACAAGACAAGCATTTTGAAAGGCTAATTGAGAAAGCTTTAACTTTGAGCTTGCTTATGTACACACACACACACACACCGAACCCCCCGGGGCAGCATGGGGTTAAGCATCAGGTTCATAAAGAACATATCCACACATTAAGATTTCCATTTCCCTTCTGCTGTCTTAACAACAACCCAGACAACAATGTGTAAAACAATTGTGCAAGCAGTTAATTCGTGTGCCTCGGCAATCTAGCAGCACCTCTACACTCAGAGAAAAACTCTTAGAGCTTTGGCATCATTTTATTTTACCATACATTCTTTATATTTTTTATTTTTGCTGGGATATTATTTTAAACTTAATTTCCGAAAGTTTTCTGTCTTTTTTTTAAAAGTATATTTCGTTATGTAACTTTGTGTGCCTTTTTCCAATAAATAAACAAAGTATTTTGAATATATAAAATTATATACTAAGAAAGTCTTGGTTTTTAAGATATCAATGTTTTGAAATTCGAATTCAGATTTATTCTCTGTGTATGGGAACATGATAATATTACTGCCAGTGACAGACAATTGAAAGGGCCATGCACAGCCGTTTGCACACATGGCGTATGCGCAATGTGCCAAAGTTTATACGAAATTAATGTTAATTACAACGCGAGTTAAGCTATCCATCTCTCTCGCACCCCCGCGGCAACATCTGTGTCCTGTCAGAAATTGGGCGGAAAATGTGGGTGGGGTAAACTGTGGGAATGGCAGGGAAATGGGGAATGCAATTTGCCAGCAATGCATTTAACAAGCTGAAAGCGCTTAAGCCAAAGGACTCGGCATCAAGTGAGTCGAGAAAGGTGCATTGAATCGCACCGAAAGGGAATGATTAATAACCGTAATCGATAAATGTGAAAAATTGATGGCTGATGGATGCACAACGACCATCGCGAATCGCTGGAGATATAGTCTGTCTTTGAAGTTGGCGTTGTTAAATATTCACCATTCAAAAAAAATTCTACTAAGAAAATATACAATTTTTTAAAATTTACAACTAACATGTTGAGCTCTAGCTTTCTAACATATATATAACAAAAAGTTGGTGGTATTCCTATTTGAAATTGGTACTTCCTTGAACAAATTAAATATGCACACCGTTTTCTTGACGATAAGAATAGTTCAACTGATTTATTGACAACATTTCATAAGTAATTTTATCTAATCCACTGATTAATTGTAGAATTAACTAAATGACACATTCCATTTATTTTTTGCTAATAATAATAGCGCAAATCATCGTTCATCTTTATCGAGCAATCAATCGAATTCACCTTTCGCCATGCCGATAAGTCCCGCTTAAGCCATTCGGTTGCACAAAGGTAGTCACTTTTTCGTGTTTTATTTTCGTCCATACATACATACATATATAATGTATATATTTTCTATATATTCCCTGCTTTGTTTTGTTTGCCGATTTGTACAACTTCTGCCAGCTGCGGGGATTCCCATGACCCATACCCTTCGTCGTGATGTGGCACAAATGGCAATGCGCTTAACGTGTTCCATGTTGCCGCTGTGCCGCACTGATGTTGCTGGTGGTGTTGCTGCTGCTGCTGCCGTTGTTACTGCTGCAATGCAACAAAGTCGACCGTGCCATGCCACGCCCCCCGTACCCAGGTACACCCTCGAAAGAACACCTTGGCACCCACGCACAGACACAATTTATAAAAGCCACAACAAATGTCTGAGGCTGTAAACTTTCGGTAAATCTTTGCAGCAATGTCTGCCAGCGGCAACAACAATGGCAGCACTAGCAGCAACAATGGCAGCACAAGCAATTGCAACTGCAACTGCAACAACAACAGCAATAGAAGACAAGGACGATGACGATGACGATGACGTCGTTACGCGGATGTTTCGACGCGACTCTGAAGGATTTTCATGGCTGGTGGCTAAGGCTTTCCTCGTTTTCCTCGTTTTCCACGTTTTCCTCTTTGTAGTTGCTGCCGTGTTGCTACCGTATCGCTGATGTTGGTGCTGCTCCTGGTGGTTTGTGTTGCATGTTGCCGTCAGCATGTCAGAGCCCCTAACACGTTGGAAAATGCGCTTACACACATGTAAGCACATGTTGTAAAACGGAGTCGCAGCCAAAGTCGACTTTTTGCTACCCATTTTATCAGGAATGTCCAGCTTTATTGCTAGTGATTTTTACAAATCATTTTTTTTTTACTAATAAATTTCAAAAATATGCCTAAAATAAATGACAATGGCGGATTGCGCTGGTTTAAAACCTTATAGGTTTGAAAATGTATTTAAATTCCATTGTAACTTGAAACATTAAAAAAAAAAAACCTTGTAAAGGCACTGCCCCTTGTCAATTTTTGAACTACACCTTTTAAAATATTAATTTTGAACTCAGGAAATTACTTTTTTTAATGACAATAAGAGTCAAAAAATTGAGTGAGTTGTTTAAATCAAGTACAGGGTACAACTAAGCAGTTCTTCCAGCAAAACACCCGAGGAAAGCGTACATTGTCAGCATCTTAGCGCTTTTCATGACAGCGTTTTCTTGCCACTGACTGTTAACGTTTTGCTAGCTGTCCCAGCTTTCCCGGCTTTTCCATCAGCTGTTGTTCGCCAGAGCCTTTGCTTTCATTAAGCTAATCCAGACATGATCATGCATATATATTTATACATATATATATATATATATATATATATATATATGCATGCACCTGAAGGGAAAATGGAAAAGCCCAGACAGAAGCGTTGAACCCGGAGACAGGGCTTTTCCTGATGCTCAAGCATTTGCAGCATTTTCATTTTTAATATACACATGAACATGCTTGTGCTGGCTTTTCCCCGCTTTTCTCTCGCTTTTCCTGGGGCATTACAAACTTTTTTATGTAAATTCTGAGTCGGCTGCACCTCCTGTTCTGTTGTTTTACTTTCTGTTTGCACCTGGGTGCCCGTCCTAAGACAAAGGTGGGGAAAAACTTTTCCCCGCAAAATATTGTTTCAAAAAGGTAAAAAAAAACAAACACACGCACACAAATACATATACAAAACAAAAAAAAAATAGAAAGCATCATGAAGATTGAGGGTAAGAATCCCATCTAATCGAATCAAATTTCCTCGAACATACTTTTCAGGTAACTTCTGAACTTTTGCCCAAAACACTTGACAAAGTTTCAATTGCCTTGGTTTTCGGCCAGTTCAAAGTTCGGGGATTCCCCAATCAAACCCCAACTTTTGGCCAAACAAATTTTGTGGCCAATGCAGCTGGCATGAAAGCTGGAAAATTAATTGAAACCGAATAGATAAGTTCAGGAAGCGAAGGAAGAGCGCAAAAGGCGGAGGGCCAATGATTGATTAAGCCCGGCTTTTCCCGGGAAAATGAGCGGGGAAGGGGGGGGGGGTAAATGGCAGGAAAAGTCAAGTCGCATTGAGTGGAAGGGAGTCGAATGGAATCGAGTCGAATTGAATCGAATCAAGTGGAGTCAAGTCGAGTCATCATCAAATGCGATTAGACAGTCAGACGGGAGATTAGACGCTCGCACTGACCTGAGACATCGGCGGATATATATGAAGGGGGAT